AAAAAAAAAAAAAAGGAAAGCTACCAATATGACAAAATACTCATTACCTGTTAGGTAAAAAAAGCAAAATGCAGAGAGCAGCACTATATGGTACCTTTAAAGTAAACAAACAAAAAAATCAAACATGTGTGACATTTATATGTAGAAAGAACAGCACCTCAATGTTACGTAGGTAGAGAAATTAAGGGCGATTGTTTACTGCTTACTAACATTTCTAAGGGAATCATGTATGGCTTAAACAGCTAGATAATTGACTGTTAGACTAAACTTAGTCTTAATTTCTTTTTCCACTTGCTTTTTAAGGAGAGCCTCAAGCAGTTCCTGTCCTGTTTCATCAAGGAATGGGGGATTCAACTTTTGAGTTTCATTCCATCCTGAGTTTTGGAGTTCAATCCTCGTAAGTATCTAAATAGTTTGTGAAGTGGGGTGTAATGGCACACACTCAGGAGTCAGAGGCAGGTGGATCTCTGTGAGTGTGAGGCCAGCCTGATGTGCGTAGTGAGTTCCAGGCCACGAAGAGGTGAGGTACACAGTGAGACCCCACCTCAAAAAGAAAAAGTTTACAAAAATAAAAATTGAAACTAGCCTTCCTTTTTTCTTCTTCTTTATTTGTAAAATTGTTTCTTTGTCCATTTTTTTCTCCCTAAAGTTTTATATATTTTAGTAAAATTGGATGGTTTGAGGTTTTTTTTTAGGCAGATTTTCTTGCTTTGTGTGTGTAAATGAGTGTGTATGGTTTGGCCAGGGTCACATGCCACGGCACTCCGTAGTGGTTGGAGGGCAGTAGTAGGGTCAGTTCTCCTAGACTGCAGGCTCCACAGCAAACACATTGCTCCTCGAGCCATCTGAAGTGACATGGAAGACGATGTCCCCTGTCTCTAGGCAATCATTTTTGACAAAATAAATAAATAAATAAATAACCCAAAGCTACAAGAGGATCAGAATTTTAAGACGTCACTTAATGTCACATTTAATTTGCCTTGTGACTTTCTGGAAAAAAAAATTTATGTCACTCTACCCTCAATTTGTTTTCCATGTATAATTGAAAGTGTCCTCCTAATCTACTTCAAAGTTATATGAAATACTTTGAAAAGTATATAATGTCCCAAATTAGGTATTATTATTTTATGCATATGACTACCACATACGTTTTCTGCTTATAATCCTTTTTCATATTTACTGTCTGTATTTTACTCAAAATTTGTGAAAAATAAAAATTTAGGGGCTGGAGAGATGGCTCAGAGAATAAGAGCACTGGCTGTGCTTCCAGAGGTCCTGAGTTCAATTCCCAGCAACCACATGATGGCTCACAACCATCTGTAATGAGATCTGGTGCCCTCTTCTGGCCTGCAGGGACACAGGCAAGCAGAACACTGTATACATAATAAATCAATCAATTGGGGCCTGGAGAGATGGCTCAGAGGTTAAGAGCACTAACTGCTCTTCCAAAGGTCCT